AAAAACATGTTACTATTACACTATACACTTAACTGATGAAATAATCATCAACAAGCATAAAATTATTTTTATTTTATATAATGATTTAAATTATTCTTAAATTAAACACAAGTTTTCATGACTTAAAATGTAAAAATGCATTTAAAAAAAAAATTAAATTATCACTTCCATTATAAGTATCTGAAGATGACCAGTCATTACAAGTTGTAATTGTATAGATGATCTATAAATTGCATTACAATAACAAAAAAAATATGTTATTAAATGTACGACAATGTGCTAGGATGACCAGTAAATGTTAGCTGTGAACTTTCCAAATGAAGATATGGGGTATAATATGTGACTAAAAGGATAATGTATAATCAAGTAAATTTTATAACTCAATTTTCTGTAAAAATGTATTTATTATTTTCATGTTGGAGAAAGGTAATTTTCTTAATTTCCATTAGACAAGCATATTATTTTAAATTTGTTTTTTATATATATTGTCGTATACTGTAAGCTGTTATTATAAATATAATCTTTAATGTATATATAGAACAGGTGAGAATATTTTAATGTTAAGAAAGATCAGGCCAATGAATCAAAATATGCTGAGGTGAAAATATTATTTTCCTAACCTAACCGCACGCACAGGCAAAGGACCAGTTTACGCTGAATGTTTTCAGCGTGACGCGTGAGCATTACGTACGAAATCGTGCATGTTAAGCAACAGTCAAAATACGGGCTAAGTAATTTTTTTTAAGTATATACAATGATTGCTTATGACTTATGTAAATGGTTTATACCATTTAATTCGTTTAAACGGGTAAATTTACTAATCAATTTTTAAAATAAATTTTTGGTTTTTTGAATATACCTACCTACCTATAAATAATGATATTTTTTTTTATATCAAAGGAATTCGAATATTTTCTATTATTTAATTTTTCCATAACTATAATGAATTTCTCGTCAAAATGAAGTTATTCGAATTTTATTTTCATCAAAAGTATTAAATTAAACATTAAGCTGCATATTGAGTGATAAAAAAAATACTTTTTAATATCTGAAATAGAAATAAGCCATCAAGTGGTAAAAATTTCAAGTTAAATGTTATCACAGAAACTTTCAAAACAATGAACCTCTTATGTCAGTTTTGTATAAATGTTCACCTAATATATTTCCTGTGTGCATATAGTGGAGGTTTATCACACTGTTGATTTGCACAAATTTTCTACAAGGGAAATAATCAGGCTAATACCAAAAACAATGGAAAATTATACAATTATTATTTTTGGTAATCTTTTTTATATATAATAAATATAAAAATGTAACATAATAAGAACTGAACGTGTGCAATAGTTGAGACTTTTTATGACAATCATCAACAAAAACGTAAATATTAAAAAGATTTAAAATTTATCTTATTGTATTACATTATAAAGTATATTATTATGAGCAACAATGGAATGGAACGGTTTAACACGTTCGCGATCAATTACTGCTATAGCAGTAATTTACAAAACCAACGAAATCGGGCATTACTGCTCACGCAGTTCTATTTAATGATGTGCTAAAAAAATCGATTCTGCAAAGAATACGATTCTTATTTTATAAGACACGAGCTATCATGGATGCGCTGGTGTACATGGTAGCGAAAGACAATCTGCCGTTATCTATAACAAAAAAACCAGGATTCCTGTTCTTCATGCAGAAAACAGTGTCTATGTACAAAGTTCCATCCAGGCAAACTATAACAAAGCTGATCAAAAGTAAATACGAGGTTTTATCCGCATTAGTTAAATCTAAGCTGAGTCTTGTAGAGCATTTAACTTTAACGTCGGATATTTGGACAGACATACTTAATACAAGAAGTTTTTTGRGCATGATGGTACATTTTTTAAGTTTAAACAAAGTTGCTCTTGAGAGTGTAACACTTGGTGTGTTAGAGCTTTCTGCCAGCCAAACTATAGATAGGTACAGGTCCAAAGTAAAAAGTCCAAAATTTTATCCAATAAAAATAGATGAGCTATTACAAACTCAAAAAATGCATTTTATATCTGAAGTTCCAACCACTGAACAAGGAAAATCTGYCAAGAGAAGATGTGCCTTATGTAGTAAAAACCAAAAAAGAAAAGATACAAAATATTTGTGCAAGGAATGCGGAGTAGGACTGTGTGCTGTACCATGCTTTGAAATTTACCATAAAAAAATGTAAATAAAATGTTACTTTTACACTTGTTTATTCCATTTATTATTATATATAAATTTAATTTCTTGTATTCATTGTTTATATCATGTTGCACTTATAATTTTGTAAAATTTTATATATTTTTGTAAAATTTTATAAAATTTTGTAAAAATAATAATAAATTTCAGTAATATATTAACGATTTGATATTTATTTAGGAAATTGATTACCGTATAACAATAATCTGTACATTTTAGGAAACCCTGACTCATCAACATAYATTAGCTAATTACTTAGTAATTAATTGGTGAATATTTTTTATTTATTTTTTATGGAACTAATTGATTCAGTGAGTATAAAATTATCAAATGGGTTGAAGATAAAAAAAAAATATGAATTAGATCATATTATTATCTTATTTAATCTTATCTATGGCATTCAAAAAGTTTAAAAAAAAAATATGTACAATAGGAGAAACGAGATGGTGTTCAAAGGATTCAGCATTAACTTAAGTTTTTAGTTACTTTAATAATCCCGATACTGTTTGTTTGTTGAATTAATAACTTCATTAGAAGAAATCCGTGAAAATACAAATATTAAACCAAAAGCACGTCAAATA